AACCAGTGTTTAATGCTATTAAGACACTAAGCATATCATTGCTGGTGTGTTGGTAATAAAATCAGTACATACAGAAAAATTTCCTTCATTTGAATATTTTAAAACGACATAAAACAACCTTTGTTATTTGTTATTACACTGTTATTACATAACCTTTATTACCAGTGTAATAACCTTTGTTATTACACTGGCTATGTTATCAACTACTCAGCAGTTCGTATGTCACTACACATCTTATATCAGAGCAGAATATAGAAAAGTGCTGCCACTAAGCATGAAAGTTGCAACCAAAATAAATGTTTAACCCCTGGCAAATGAATGAGAAATAATGAAATGTCTTAAACCAAATCTTAAATCTTTTCAAATCAACAAGTAAAAATGGTACTTTTAAAACAATATATACTGAAAATTAAGCAATTATCGCGCTGAAACACTGTTGCAATCACTGTGGTTGCGTTGTTTCAACTTCCTCTGCCTTGCGATCTTACTCGGACTCAAACATATACAGCATCACTTTCCATCTCAAATATCAAAACACACAACATGCTGTAAAGGAGGACATGAATATGGTGCAATGAAGTTAGCCAATCACAGCAGTGGGCGTTTACTTCCGTTTCTAAAAATGGAAAGTTTTTCAGAGAGTGAAAATAAGGATGAAAATCTTTTTCATTTTTTTTTTATACAAATATTTGCAAAAAAAAAAGAAAGAAAAAACATTTGCAAACGTTATAAACTAGCATCGAGAAATAATATAAAACTCTGAATCTGCATTTCATAACCTCTTTAAAAAATAATTTGTCAAAACACAGGACCATTTATGTAAATGAACTAGTACTAGGGCTAATATAGTGGCAACAGTTATAGCATCTAAAAACATATATTTTAATATAAAACCTTTTGTTGAGAAAGAAATAAAGCTACATTATTTGTCTATTCATACAGATTGTGGCTGGTCTGTGTGCATTTCTTCAAAATATTGCCCATCTGACTATTGTTAATGAAACACATTGTGATAATGTTGTAATGGTCTACACCTGAAAAATCTAAACTAATCATGACATTTTAAACTACTAGAGGGTGGGATGTTTTACTTGCAGGCTTTAGTAAAAACTTGCCACGATTAGTTCATATACACTCTTAAAAATAAAGGTGCTTCACGATGCCGTAGAAGAACCTTTTTGTCTAAATGGTTCCATAAAGAACCTTTAACATCTGAAGAACCTTTCTGTTTCGCAAAAGGTTCTTTGTGGCAAAAGAAGGTTCTTCAGGTATAAAAAGGTGAGAAAGAGATGGTTCTTTAAAGAACCTTTGACTGAATGGCTCTTTGTGGAACCAAAAATGGTTCTTCTATGGCATCGCTGTGAAGAACCTTTTGAAGCACCTTTATTTTTAAGAGTGTATCTATGCCTGACAAACTACTTTTGTTGCCATTACCTTCTGCAAGTATGAAAACAAAGGGAAAAAGATGTTGATTTCAAATGATCATTGTCTGTATGCTTGAACTAAATCATTTGAGTGCATGACAGATTTTAAAAATCTGGGTTTCTGCATGCCATTATTCACAATCCAAGCTCAGTTATATTAAGGCTAAGAAACGGCATGCTGGGATCATTTTATCCTGTGGGGCCCACCATCTTATGATACCCTCATAAGTAACAATGTGTCCCGTGTGTACAACATCTATGAGGTTGCTTGAATGAAATGAGAATATATTTCATTTTTCCTCTAGTCTTCCTTCTGACATATGGGCTCTGCCACCTAAACCCATTCTCACAGCATCTCGAGACTGCTGCTTGACCTCATCTGTCTAACTTATCCATTTTTCATGCACGAGATTGCATGTTTGTGTGTATGTGTGCGTGCTTGTTTTATTGGACTGTATCTATAACGCATAACCAAGCACTGAGGCCCTCGACTTTATTAATAAGATTTACTCTGAATTTAAAATGCTTGGCAATTGGCTCTTAAAATGAGGCATTGCTTTGGGCACTCTCATTCCACAAATAGCTTCATTCCTAGCCAGAAACAAATTTTAAAAAATGTAAGCACTAAGATGCTGCTGAAATATGAAGTGAATGCATATTCATCTTCTTCTTGCATTTACTTGCCTGTACAGTATAGTACAGCTAAGGACCTGCACATGTCATTTTGTAGGAGACTAGTCTTTCAAGGTCTTTTGTAGAATACTATTACCACCATGTGACCTCTGCAACTCGCTTTAGGATGAAACCAGAAGATGATGCATTCACTAAACACGAGTAACAACTACAAACCTTAACATTCATTCTTAATCATGTTGAAGGTGCACTATGTAATTGGAATCAAAATTATATATGATCACGGAGTAAAAAATATATATATATGTGAAGTACTAAAGAAGGGGGAGTGTAATGATTACATAGCCATATAAGTGAACTGCATAATGCATACTGAACTGAGCTGTGACAATGAAGGAGAGTTCACAGCACTCGGGCCACCACTTCAACATAAATTCATTCTGGAGCCATAAAGAGTTGCACTGCCCCCTAGTGATAGCCACTAAAGACCTTTGTTTCCTACCTAAGCCACCAATTTTTATTTTTATTTTTTTACCATGGAAATCATAGTCTTTGGAACAAACATAATTTGTTTTTAAAGCTAATATTGGGAATTGTACCATCTAAAGCACTGCACATCAGTTCATCAAGATTGTTTTAATCAATAGGTCTTTGACATACATATTAGCTAACAGATAAGTGGACACAAGTGTAACACATTTATGAGAAGATTCAATACACAAGGAATATTGAATATTCGTTCAAATATCAAATAGTAAATGCCATAAAACGATAATGTGCTTTTAAAGATGTCGCTTGCAAGTGAAATTTGTATAGGAGTCTATCCTGTATATTTGTTACTTTTTGCTAAAGTCAATTTTTGGTAGACCAAAATAAGTCTTATATACACCAAAATGGTGAGGTAATCCTAAACATCACCTCTCAAGTGTGGGCAAAGCTTTCATTCCAATAAACTGGTTGTCCTCACCTTTTGAGAAGGGATGAAATGGTTTGTTTCTCTAGCAACACAGCTTTTGGTTGTGGTTTCCTAGGTTACTGTGGGCTTTCTGAAGATGTCATGCTAAAAAGCCCTCCTTCACTGTTCCCTTCAGGATTTTCAAAGCTGGAGTACTTCCTTTGAATCAAATGAAGTAAATGTGACGTAAATGAGCGCCAGAGTAATGCCAAACAGGTGAATTGTCTCACAGTCTGAAATGCTAAAAAGAGCTCCTAGGCTGAAAGCACTTTTATCAGCACCCAGCGTGGGCAGGTTAATTTACAAAGTCAACAGCTGCAAAAAAAGTATTCACTAGACCTGGGGTATGATTGTTTTAGTGCCTGTACTGTTGGCCTATTTAAATCACAACTTATGTGAAGTTTCACGATACTTACAGCACCTGGAACAGGAGGAAAAAGCACCTATTTTACTGTTACTGTACACCAGATGATGACAACGATGGCCATCCAATGAACCAAGGTGCTACTTTTGTTCAACAAACCTTGTTCTGTCTTTCCAATAAGGGAAATAATAAAAATGCAGTTGCAGCCACATGCCTGATTTGAAGTCAAAGACATCCCCTGAGCTTCTTCAAACATCTGCTTCTCTGGTGTAACAGTGCCTCTGGTCCTTTATGGGCATCAATAAAAACAGAGGCTGAGGATTTGAAAAGTAATGGTAAAGGATTATGTACGATACATTCTCGGTAAGACTCCGAATTAATATCCATTTCTAATTAAATATTCCAAATACACACTCAACTCAATGCACAACTTATACAATGAAAGTTCAGGTTGAGTCTGCACTTCCAGATCTCACGACTTTCCTGTCTCTCTCCACTGTCCTGTAGAGCAAATGGATAGAAAAAAAAAGAAAAACAAAAAAGAAAAAACATAAAAACACACAAACAATACACTAATGGCTATATTTTGTGAAGAAACAACTTGTATGGTGTTCTAACACATCTTACAAACCTTCTACAGCTTCTATCTTTACGGCAGTCTTTGTTTCTTCATTTCATCCTCCATGCTGGTTTACATCTCTCACTGCTATGAACATAAACGGCTTTCAAAGCAAAAATCTCATCAAAAAAAAAATTACTGAAGTGGCCCAACTAAGCTTCGGTCCATTCTGTGAACAGCAAGACTGGAAGAAAGGCCCAGCACAGCACAGCACAGCACAACAGCATTTCCATAACTAATTTAAACTTCTTCTGACTGAGGTGGTCTAAAATTGTCACATAGCAGCATTGCAAAGGCTATCCAATTACTGAAAAACAACTAAGGAGAGGACAGCAAGGAGTCAAGCCAAGAGCTTGACACAATTATACAAATTTGTTATACTAAAATGTACACAACCTTTTAAGTTATTTATATAATTTGGACAATTTATAATATATATATATTTTTTTTAATTTTATAATTTTTTTTATCTTAGTCATTGGATATTCTTACTTGAATGCAAACATAGCCATATATACATTTTGCCTGTATCCTAGTGTCAAAATTTAATTTTGTATTCTCAAAACTTAATGGAAATTTGAAAAGATGTACTGTTTGGATAAATAATTAGGTTGGAAATACTTACAATGTCTCAAAAGTGCTTAAAAGTATTACACATAAGGAACGGTTTAAAAAGATTTAAAATGATAAAAGCCTAAATAAAGCTGTTTTATCTTACATGGAGCAGGTCACATCATGAAGGCAGGCATGTTGAGATCATAATGAAGAGTTTTGCTTCTGCATGACACTGCATTCATGTTGCTATGTATCTGTACAACTCGAGGACGACTGGCAAACAGGCCAAGCGCAAAATAAACAAATCAAAAGTGTACTAACTTAATGTAATGGCTGACTAAGTGGTTATAATGTTTGAACATTTTTGGTCATTATAGCATTATCATTAACATTCTTTTTAAATCCATAAAAAATAAACAATCCAAATGGAATTATGAGATTTAATCTGCCAGGGAAATGTAACACAAAGTTGAACGCGCAACATTACCAACCCACTATCGCCTTATTAAGAATATGCATCCATTTTCTTCGTTTTAATAGCATAACAGTTTGTATATTTTGTTTCTATTCAAACACTGTGTCTAACACAAGTAAATAACTTACTTCTTAAGAATAAAAAGGGAAATAAACACCCAAACAGAATATATAAAATACTCAGGTAAAGAAACAACAACAGTGACTTGAATGTTATAATATGTGAATTGAGAAAAAAATCTTGCCAATGCTGCTAGTCATCCGGCCGAAACAGCACTAAACAAAAAAGTCAGTGAAACTATTTAAAAAACTACTCATATGAACGTTTAAGAAACACAGTAAAAGTAAGTTCACAAATACTGGATGGCTTGACTACAGGAAGGATGACTGGTTGGGAATGAAGAGTCTTTGGGCAGAGGAGCAGGAGATGGGTAGGGGAGGTGAGATGGAGGACATGGGGTATGCTGGGTAAGGCACAGACCTACATCCAAAGGACAGGAAACCAGAGCCAGAAGGTGCAGGAGGAGAAACATTCACAGGGGAGCCAGGGGAACTGATAGAGCAATCTGTTACACAAACACACACAGGAAAAACAACTGTAACACATCAATTTTGGATATATATCAGCCGAAATTTGATATTTACAATACCATTCAAAGTCTGTAAGATTTTTTTCAATGTTTTTAAAGGAAGCCCCTTACACTCAATATATCATAATATATCATGAAACATTAATATTGTGAAATATTATTACAATTTAAAATAACTGTTTTCTATTGTAAGACAATTTAAAATGTAATTTATTCCTGTAATTTTTCAGCAGCCATTACTCCAGTCTTAAGTGTCACGATTCCTCAAACATCTTTATAATATGCTGATTTTGTTATCTCATTATTATCATCAATGCTGAAAACAGTTGTGCTGCTAAATATTTTTTGGGAAACTGACTTTTTTTTAGGACTCTTTGATGAATAGCATTTATTTGAAATAGAAATCTTTTGTAACATTGTAAATGTCTTTACTGTCACTTTTGATCAATTTAACTGTCTTTGCCGAATAAAAGTATTAATTTCTTAAAAACTTGCTGACCCCAAGTTTTATAATTGTGCATGCTCATTTTGCCTGTTTTTATTTAGTCATCTAACGCTCACAAAAATTACAACTTTAAAAGCACTAATAATTAAATAACACTGTTAAAGGCAAATCTTAAAACAAATATCCATTCTTTGTACTGTACGCTATAATGTTGTGATGCCTACATTCAGTGCATTTAAAATTATGTTTTTAAATGACTAGCTTTTAATGTTTTAGTTTTTATATATTTAGACAAAATAGAAGTGTAGAATTTTATGATTGGTCAAACTATCAGCCATAACATTAAAGTAATTATCATCTTATACTGTATGCATCAACCAGAATTTTAATATCAGTGCACTCCTAATTTGTATAGAATGCTGTACAGAAACGAAAACTACAGAAACCGGAAAACAATTGAAATAAACTAACCCAGGTTCCAGAGTGCATTCTGGGCAGCAAGCTCCTTGGCGTCCTCCAGTATGGTGCAGGCTTTATCAGGCATGAAGCTGCTCCTGGTGCTGCTGATAACCACTTTGTAGATGAGCAGCATTTTTCCCTCTTGTCCGGCTAGGGTGTAGAGATTATACTCCGGCAGAGACCAGTCATTCTTGTGGCAGTAGTAATCGAGCAATGATACAGCTGAGCTCAGCTGGCTGGGCTTCAGGCTGTTCAGGCTGACTGGGACCACAGTGGATCCGGGTAGGAACGGATACACACAGCGATCTAAGTCTACTGCATACGGGCTGCCCAAGTGAGGCGGCAGGCTGAGGGGCCGCACGGTTAACCCATCACTTACTGCTCCTGTTCCCAAGCCGATGGTCACGTCATCTCTGCTCTGGAACAAGAAGTTGGAATCACCATAATTTCCAGCAGCTGCCACTCCACCATAGCTATTCCGCAACCCAGATCTTTTAGTCCCATCTTTGCTGACAGGCTTAGCAAGAGTCACCTCAATGGGCGAACCATCTATAACTTTCCCATTCATGGACTCAAGAGCGGTTAGGGCATCCTCGCGGTTATAGAAGTGGATGAAGGCATAATCCGTCAGCTTCTTAACCCGTTCCACAGAGCCAGGCTTCATGCGTGAGAACTCAGAGCGAAGCGTCTCCTCCGTGGTGCTCAACATGAGATTACGAACATAGAGGACTCGCACTCGCTGCATGGTTTCCTCATCTAATTCCTTTTCTGGTTCGGCCCAGTCAACCTGGATGGTGTGACCCCACAACTGAAATGTTCCTGAAACACACAGCAAGTTGCATGCTGGTGAAAAGATCTAACAAATGTAATGATTACATTTCATTGTCAGGCTCTCATAGATTTTCCCTCAATAAAAGTATATAAACAGTGCTGCTTGTTTGCTTTCTAGGTTTTCATTTTAAGTTTATTTACTGTAAATGAGTTTCCTGTTCAGAAGAAAAAGGGTCAAAATTATTGTCTATTAAGTTGAAAATAACCCAGAATATACCATGTCTACAGTGGACATGGGTAGTATGTTCATACACAAAACTAAATCACTAATCAATGAAGTTTGTATCTTGCCATGCTTCTCCAGCCACCTATCTGTCTGAAATAAAATTGATTACAAAATATCACATACGTGAATTGTTTTTAATTAATTTTCCATGGATTTCACAGCAAAGATCACTTGTTTTACTTCCATAATCTGCTGTATCCTGAATCAACTAAAATATATTGAAATATAAAAATGAAGGATTGCGGCAGGGACTGTCCATTGGGAATCTGAAATCTGAATTGTGAAAAGTTGTCATTACATTCACTAGTGGTCAGAAGTAGGGCTGGGTGATATGGGCAAAAATTCATATCTCTGTATTTTTTGGCCGATTTGTGATATACGGTATATATCTCGGTATTTTCGTTTTTGTATTTGTATTTTTAAAAATCTGTATCTAATATATATATATATATATATATATATATTTATACAACAGTTCGTTCTGGTTCTCAAATCTGATTGGTTGAGAACCGTGAGATATTGTACTGGTATTGCTACAGGAACGCCCTTTCACAATTTTGTATCACTCCGCTTGTTCTAGCCGGGTCTGTGTTTTTATGCT